CCCCTGGGGGGGATGTGGCAAGGCTATATCTATGTTGTATGTCCACAGAGGACTTAATAGTACCATATTTAAAGAAATCTATTATTCTACTCAAATTTTGCCTAGACATTGAAATTGCTTTGTTGGAAAGCCTCAGTAGAGGCCACATGGTGGGACACAGGCTTACAAAAGGAGCACTGAAGTTTTAATCGGCATTTTGCATTTATCCCAATGTTTAGATAATACCGATCAAAGATCATTAGATCCTTGTTCATGTCAATATTTTCTTACCAATCAAATCCAACGGCTTAATGGACACGCCAGTCTGTTCAATTTCCCATACCATCTTCTTTTGATCCTTTCTAACCCAGCAGGAAAATGCAGCAAGACATATAGTATCATAATACCTTCCTATATCTGGAGCTGCCAGTCCTCCTCTGTCCCATGTTTGTTGCATGACCTGATAATCTGGGCTTCTTTTTATCCCAAATAAATATATCAAACTTGAAAAGTTTTAATTTTTTGTAATAAAGAATTATGAACTTCTACTGGCAATGCAGTCATTGTGAAAGGAATTTTTAGCTGAGCTAATCTTTTAACAATGGCAATCCTAGGTGAGACGCAAGGCCACCTAGGGAAAGGTCAGATGCAAATCCACAATGGCTGAACATCATTCACTAAGTCTACTTCCATTTTTTTAAAGGTTCCCTTGCTTGAAAGCCAGTCGAATCCAACTCTAGGGTTGCGGTGCTCATCTCCGTTTCAAAGCCGAAGAGCCAGCGCTGTCCGAAGACGTTTCCGTGGTCATGACTAAACACCAAGGCGCACGGAACACTGTTACCTTCCCACCGAAGTGGCACCTATTTATCTACTTGCAGTTTCTTGCTTTCGAACTGCTAGGTTGGCAGAAGTTGGAACTAGAGACGGGAGCTCACTCCATCATGCGGCACCCGGGACTCGAACTGCTGAACTACTGACCTTCTACAGCCTGCAGTTCAGCGTCTTAACCACTTGAGCCACCGCAGCTCCAGCCCTTTTATCTATCTGCTTTGCATGCAGAAGGTGCCAGGTTCGGTCCCCAGCACCTCCGGTTAAGAAGGACCAGGTGGTAGGTGATGTGAGAGGCTTCTATCAGAGACCTTGGAGAACTGTTGCCAGTCAGAGTAAACAGTACTAGCCTTCACAGGCCAAGGGTCTGACAGCATAAGGCAGCTTCATCTGTGGAGAATCCAGGTGGCATTGTGCCCAGAAGCTGCAGGTCAACATTTCCCCTGTTCTTTTTAACAAATTGGTTTGTGGTGATTGTTCTGACATGCTGTGTGCAAAGAGGTAAGTCTCCTGTATTTAACAGTATGACAAATAGCCACCTTATACCTCTTCAGAGAATCTATAGCTGTACAAGCATGGAGCATGAAATCATATCTTTAGTTCAAATAAATTGTATGCTCTCATCCCATGTCTTGCGCACTGTGCTTCTGACAAAGTCCCCAAAATTTGATAGAAAAAAGTACACCAGTTTTTAAATGAAATGGTTTAAAAAAAGTTTGCTAATATGGGGGGGGGGGAATCAAACCAAATTAATGAGCTGCGGCAACTTGCATGAAGTAATACAGTCCATCTAAATTTTTGTGACATGTCAGCTGCAAATTATATATTTCTCTGTTCTTCAATAAGCATATTTTCGGCTTAGAAGTCAGATGTACATATATTTTTGTTGCCATATGATATTCCATACTCCAAAAAAAGTTTCCAGAAGTTAATATACACTACCATAATTTGCAAGAACAAGTTCCAAAACAGTTCTTGTGCCAACCAAATAGGTACAGCTTCAACATCAGATATCAGTTTCGTTTTACACACCCGCAGTCTGACTGCACTGACCGTCTCTTAAAGAAATGGAGGTGTGTGCGTGTCCGTAAATTCAGCCTCCTCTGCCCCCCAAAACCCAAGCATTTAGCAGACAATCTATGCTAACTAATCTTATATACAATTGATGGCTTGCAGTCACAATCCAGCAAGGGGTCTCATGCACACAGCCCTAAATAACTATAATGTAAGAGATGTATATGAATACGTGAAGCTGCCTTCAAGTGAGTCCAGACCCTGGTGCTATCAAGGGCAGCATTGCCTGGTGAGACTGGCAGCAACTTCCCCAGGGTCTCAGGCTGAGGTCTTTCAAAGTGCCTGCTGCTTAATCTTTTCCCCTGGAGGTGCACTTTTCGGTGTAGAAAGCACTGAGCCATGGCCCCTTCCTATGTGCAGTACTTTGCCACTTGCAGCACCCTTTTGCTTGAACAGAACACATCCAGAAAGGTAAGCCATGAATTAAAGCCTTAACCCTAACTCTTCAGAACGGCAGTGGTTTGGACTGGCGCAGCCCCTTCCTCTCTGGACTGGAGATTTTGAATGCCCTGGAAACCAAGCATGGGAGGAGCCTGGCAGAGCCAAGAGAAGCCCCCACTAAAAATTCGTTCTGGAGCAGCAATGCTGAGGTCTGCCTTGTCGCCCAGTCCTGACCTTGAGCATCCCATTCAGTCAACCGCAGACCTTTTCCCTGCTCCACTCCTTTTATCCATCGCCTTGCATTACCCTGAGGGAGATTAGCATAAACAACCCAGAGGTTCCAGGCACCTACCTGCTTATACAGGAGCATCAGTTTGGTTCCATCTCAGCTTTGGACAAGGAGCATTTAAAGCCAGAGGAGTTCTAAGCGGTGGGTGTCGCTGGACCATCTCCTCCATGTCTGACTCCCACCCTCCCTGGAATGTGCTGCATCAACAATGGGGGGGGGGAGCAGTGCAGAGCTAGGAAGATAAGCAAAGGATAGAATCTGTGTGTTGGATTAAAGTTTTTAGGGAGCTGTCCCCAGTCCTGGCTATACCACTCTCCTTCTCACGACTTCGCCTGGCAAGGACAGGAGAGCAGCTTCCCTCCAGTCTCTACCACTTTCTTAAGTGTATACAGCCAACGCTCTGACCTTGGTCATTGCTTCCACACACCCACCAAGGAAAGCTTCTGAACCACCTCCAATCCTATTCACCATCCCTGTGAGGTATCTTTCCCTGAACCCGTCTGTGATAAGGCCTGGCTCCAAAAGTCTAGGCATTTCATGGTGGAATTAAGCATCAGCACTGGACGCACCTTTGTGAATGTTGCAAGTCTCTAGCCCAACTCCAACAGATTTTTCTTTAAGTTTAATTTTTCAATTTGAAATTATAACTGATTTATGACACAGCATCCTGCGAAAAAGTAACCAGATCTATTTTATAAAGAAAAAGACCCAAGGGGGGGGGGGGAGGAAAAGTCTTCCTATCAAGCTGGAAAGCCAAATCTTACAATTAAGTTCTTATTAGCACTATATAGTATATCTTACCGCAATGTTTAAATATGCATACAAGAAAGCTATGTTTGTCTTTATTTTATTAGATAAACTTGCATGGTTTTATACCATTATTCTTTTCACTCAAAGACCCATTTTTCTAAGAAATTTGAGGCATAACTAGAATTTGGCATACTTTTCAGTTGTGTTGAGATCTTCCCTGTTATCATGACTTCCAAAATTATATTGTACCACCTTGTAGTGGAAGGGGGTTTGTGCTAATTTTTTGCCTGTAGAAATTTGGCTTTTCTTAGTGACAATACTATGAACCTCCTTAAGACTGGAGGGATTGTTTTATTGCCTACGCCTTCCAGCAGAATCACTTACCTCAACCATGCCTGTAGCCACTTTTTACACAAATGGGCCAGGAGCTTTGGGTCCGGCCAGAGGCTTTGCACTTATGATCTCCCCCTCAGAGTCTGGGGAGGGGAGTACAAAGGAACTCGGGAGGGGGGGGGAGAAGAGAAACAGCAAGAGAGAACTGAAAGAGCAGCAGTGAGGGATACCTGCTCAGTGTGCTGCTACATGGAGAACCGAGCCACAGAGCAGAATCAGACTCACAGGACAACTGCCCTCAGACCACAAGCACTATGGTAACCCATCAGAGCCCACTCCCTTCCCACAGCCAGAAATAAAATGCAAGCATCCATCTGACTCATCCCCATGCCTAGCAAAGCCACCCAGAGCTCCGACTCCAGAGCCACAGCTCCTTGCCTTAACCAAACCACCCACCAGCGGCTCTAAAAGCCACAAAAAACCCTCACTGGACACCACACTCATCCTGTTCCACTCACTGTTTGGGCTCACACGGCTGAGCAAGCCAGTCCCAAGTGGCTGCCTTGGCTCCTCTGTGGTCCACTTCAGCTAGGGGATGGTCCTCGCCACCCATGGCTCCAGCGAGGTGCCCGGGGGATTCATGCCTTTTGAAAAAGCCACAGGCAGAACAAACAGGGATTTGGTGTCTGGGCGGTGGGGCTGGCTCAGCACATTCCTAGCCCCGAGGGCCCTGAGGGCCATGGAAGAGAAGTGACCGGGACACAGAGGCACACACAGAACTGCTTACAGGGATAAGAGAACCGGATTAGCCATCTCGGCTGGAGATTAGACCTGGAAGGCATGCAGACATACTCATGGTGGAAGACCCTTGGAGCTGACAGGCCCAGAGGTGACCGTTGCAGGTGGGGGCTGCTCCACCCAGCCCATAGAATCCCCACAACCCTTAACGTACAATCAAGCCGTTCTAATCAGCTGCTGGGTGCACCGCAGCATTCCCTGGCATACTATGAGACACATATTAAGGTTGCCCCACTGATATTTCGGTCCCTCAGAAATACATAGATACCAAGAACACATCTTGGACCACAGTTGGTTGTGTAGCACAGTGGCTTTCCTGCTTTCTGTCCTGAGGAACCCTTTCGACACTCTGCTTTGAATGGGAGGAGGCGACGGCTCGTTTTTCTGGCTTAAATTCAAGCACCGTGCATAATACCCCCTCCCTGCCCTATCAACTTCCATGGCTCTTCCTTTCTCCCACATCGTTTGCCGAGTTTTTCAAACACCACAAGCTGAAGTGTGATATACTGATTTTTATTAAGTACAGAATCTCAGTAAAACAAAGAACCAAGTAACACATCCCGGGGGGGGGCGCAATGCAGGACAGTTTCCTGCATGGACTTGAAATAATTTTTAAAAAATTCTCCCAGCTCCCAGGAGAGGTGGAGCCCAGGTCTTCTTGCCTGGGAAGGCCCAAAAGAAGAGTACCAGTGAGGCGTCAGATAGAGAATGTGGCTTTATAAAAAAATACATGCTGTATACTTTGAAGAGGGGTTTATAGGAATGTGTAAAAGAAGTGGGGCTCACGAGAGAACCACTTTTGCACAGTTACGATTGGAAGGGGCAGTAGTGGCATTACAATTCCGTCTCTTTGACAGCTAATGGAGAACTGTCTGCCATAAATGAGGCAGGAGAGTGACATGTTTACAGCTAAGCACACAGATTCCTCTATCAGGGCATGGAGGCAGGGCTGACTCCAACTCTCCCTCTCATAAGATGGCCAAAGTTAATCAAAGATGGAGTAATTTAATCAAAACCTAGGCAGGAAGGGCCTAGAACAACAGGAATCTGAATGCTCCAGGATGCCGGCACAGATCGCTGATGCTGCCCAGTACAATGACCCTGTGAAGGATTCTCAGCTCCTAAGCAAGGTTCGTTAAGAGCCTATGGAACTAGTACGAGCCCTGGCACTGGGAAGAGCACAGCAGGTGATGTGCACAAGAGGCTTCATGCCTTCCTGACAGACTGCAGAGTATTGCTCGGTGGAAGTGACAAGTTGCACTGGAATGGGGATTTCTCACTGTCACACACACGCTCTCATTCACACACACACACACACACACACACACACACACACACACACACACACACACGGCATACAAAGGTCAGGTGCCTGAGAACAGCCAAGAGACTCTTAAAAAAAAGAAAGTTGTGCTATATATCAGATACCCCCATCTCCAGAACATGACCAAAGGCCTATCTAGCCCCTGGTTTTTAGGGTTTTGATGCAGCTCCTGCACTTACTGCCTGCTTCACACTTTGCCAGGAAGCCTGCCCCAAGCTTCCTTCCATCCAGGTGTGGAAGATATTGGGCCCACTGAGCCTGGACCCTAACAGCCCAACCAGCGCACCCGTCTCCAGGATCCAGCAGGCCTCAAGGCTCCCGTGCAACCGAACTGGGTAAGGAGGAGACACACATCTGGTGGGAAACACCAAGCAAACCAAGCCCCAGGCTTGCGGTTGGGTGACACGGCTTTTCCAAGCCAGGCCAAAAAGGGTGATGGGAAAAAGTTGATGGTGTTGCTCATGAGGCCCAAATGTGTGTGTGTGGGGAGGAGGAGGGAGCTCTGAACTTCATGCAGTCAAGGCTTCTGACCACCGGGCAGGATCAGGGCCTGTAGAATATCCGAGAGGGACACGATACCCTTCACCACATTGTTTTCATCCACCACCACCAGCCGATGAACCTGTTGGTTACAGGGACACGTGTGAGGGTTCATGTATTTACACAATCAAGACTCAGCAGTGGTCATCCCAAGAGACTGGCCTGATAAAATCAGCTCTGTATTTGCATTAAAAAAAAAGAATTCAGCATCCCTTTCAGCCTACTCAAAATGGTCAAAGTTCCTCTCCAGAAATGAAAACTTCATCCTCAGCCACCATGCTGCTATATACAAAGCTAGCATATTTTTATTTATTTATTTATTTTATTTTTGAATGTATATCCCGCCCTTCCCGAAGGCTCAGGGCGGCTCACAAGGGGCAAAATGCCCAAGTTAAAACATTAAAACAGTACAGAATAATATAAAATACAACAATACAATTTACTAAAATTTGCTTTCTGGTGCTCTAAAATTATTTAACTATAAAAGTACAAGATGGGATTCTAAAATTATTAACCAGCAACAGTAATAACAATAAATATAGCAGCAACAATATACGTCCATACCGCGCTCACCTCTGCCAGGCACGTCTCGCACCCCCAATAGTCCCCGCTCTGAGAATGGTCAGTTTGCGGGACTAGTGAGGGGGGGCGTAGATAGAATGATGGTGACATAATGATGATGGCATCATGATGGTAGTGGCAGTAGTGGCCCAGGACTACTCAGAATGTCCAACCAGGACTGAGGATACCCAGGATTCAACCCTCAGTCTGAACTCCATAAGCATGCCATTGTACACAAGGCCCCACAAGGAGGGGAGAGTCAAAGGCACCCAGTGCTGCTGGGACCTTTGGCTTCCCTTGAACCTTCACGTTCACCAGTTAAGCACCTAAAGGTATCAGACACTGTATGAATTTACAGTTTTATTTTAACACCAGATGGAATAAAGCCTACGAAGCTTTAATATCTGAAAATGTATAGACTGTGCGTTCTCTTTTATGGGATACAAAGAGGTTCACAGTCTCAGCAAGCTGTCTAGAAAGCAGGGCTTACATCAGCCAACAAATCTATCTTTTGAGTGGGAAACACAGGGGATGTTAGAAGGACAGCCAGGATACCTGGAAGAACATTCACAAGGCCTTTTATTTCACCACCACCACCCCAAGCATCTCAGCAACATGTTAGTAACACACTAATAATCGGGTCTCAGACTGGGCCTGCTCTAAATTATCGGTGCTTAAATACCTTTCAGCTTTAATGTCCGCATGGCAGAAACTGGAACGTGGAACTTATGATTGTTCCTTTCTACTCAGAGGTATGGAGAGCATCCTTGACTGATGGTAGGAATCTCCCATCAATCAAGGGTGCTCTCCTCCGAGTAGGGACAAAACATTTCCCACTTCACTGGGGGGGGGACGACATCCACCAAGATGAAAGCGGGTGTTACCTGTCCCCTATTCTAAAACTCATTCTCCTTACCTCCATCTGAGCCCCAGAGTTCTGCCCTCCCCTACTGAACCAAGTAGCAGCCAGGCAGGAGGGGGTTTACCTCTGCCTCCACCAGTCGGTTGATTATCGTCTCCAGAGTCTCATGCTTGTAACACTTGAGAACACCCTCAAAGTAGTGGGAGCGATGCTGCAGTGCCTTGGTCACGGTCACATCCAGGTTGTTGTAAGTCTTCTCAGCAGCTAGGTTCTAATCAGAGGGAGAGGAGGGAGAGGGGACATGTGGTGGCATCACCAGCCCTGGCTGACCACAACTCTGTTCTCCCCACTTGGACACCACCACCCCAGGCTGAAATCAGGGGAACTTGTCTCTGCCCAGCAGTATGTTTGAATCCACCAGGACAGCTTGCATTCCTAAGCTGTTCAATGCACATTACAAAATATGGTTGTTGTTTTTTTAAAAAGTGGGCATTTAAATCCAGTCCCCTGGCACAGAACAGGGCCATCCGTACAGTGGCTCTCTGCAGGGAAGACACAATGCAGATGGGCAGTGTGGCACTTGGAGAGCAGCAGCAGCAGCAGTGCTGAAACGTGTCCTGGAGCAAATCCCTGCAGGTGACTCAAGTGAGTGAGCCAAGTCATGTGCCACAGAGGAAGGGGGGAAGCCCAAAAGTGGTTTGGGGGGGGGGGGTCGAACAAGCGTTCTCATTCAATCTCGCCCAGCTCCCTTGTTTACTACAGCCCCTCTTTCACATGGCTTCCGTCCACTCAGGTCTTGCAATCCTCAGCATTACCTGCTGGGGTAGTCATATAGGATCCCTTCCTTTTTTATCTAGAAAAACCAGCTGGATCTAACCCAGGTAAATCAGCATGAAATCAGAAGTCAGAAAGCAAAACAGCATCCAACAAGGAAACCTGCATTGGGCTACAGGCCCACCCACACCACCCAGCACTGGCCTCTGGCTGGGAGTAACACCGGAGCAACAGAGGCTTCCCGTCCTCTTCCACACCTGTGGCTTAAACCAGGCCAGTCTCCCAGGAACCATGACTTCTCCACCTGGCATCTGAGTACTTGCCATTAAAGCTTTCCTGTTCCCCTGCTGGCCACATGTGCCCACACCTTCCTTTGTTTCTGCCACTTAACACCGTGATCTGAAGCAAGAGCTCGGCCATCAGTTTAGTGAGCAGAGGCTACACTGGAATTTGCACTGGCAACCTCAGCCACAAAGTCTGCAGGCTGCTTGCCTCCTGCTAAGGCTCCAGAGCATTCCAAGCACCAAAGAAATGCAGCATGTGAATATTATTCTGTGACTCGTCATATGCCATAATGCCAATGATACAAGCTAATGACATTTTTATAAAGTGCAGGAGTTCTATTAATACATTTGTCATTCAACATTTGGCTTTCCCCAGCCCAGAATGTTGATGTTGGCATGGGGGGGTGGGGGTGGGGACAAGTACACTCGGCCCTATCTGTAAAACTGTGTCAGGTCTGTAACTGGTCAAGCCAAGAGGACTCCTCATAATAAATCTATTTTTAATAATGCATTAGGCAATTATCAAAGACAGAGGGGCACCCTGTGTGTGAAATCATCCCTCTCCCCTCAGACCCTGGATACTCACAATGACATCAAACTTGGAGTAAATGTCTACAACCCGACCTAAAAGAAACAAACAAGTACAGCTTGTGAAAATTGGAAGTGGATTTGAAAAGGAGGAGGCGGGTGGGGAAGCAGACTCCCAGAAGGCAAGGCAGAGCAATCGACTGCCCACTCCCAACCCCACAGTTCAGAGCGCGCGGCACACGACAGAGGGTGGGCAAGTGTACCACAAAATGATGCTTACGGGATGAATGGTTTTAAAGGTTTCACGTAACCATGGAAGGCAAAAAGAAACACAAAAAACTAGGGTCACGAACCAACCAGTCCTTGGGAAGCCAGGAGGGAAAGGGGCAGAAAACAGGATTCTGTCCTGATCCCAAATATGGCAGCCTGATCCCAGGAATGTCCACTATTCACTTCGTCTATGCTCCATGTTTCTGCCCCAGCCAGGCAGATGCCATGATTGATCATGAACCATGATTTAAACTCCATCTAACAGAAATTCCCAGAAGTCAGTATCTTAAAATAATTGACGCAATAGACTAAAAACCAAATACTCCAGATGAAAACACTTCGTATTTCACACAGAAGTACAACAGCACAAAACATCTAATTCCTGGTCTGAAAAAGAAGGAAGTTTTAATCTATCTCATTCTGGAGGGCAGAAAGAAGAAGAGTTGGTTTCATACCCCGCTCTTCACTACCCGAAGGAGTCTCAGAGTGGCTTACAATCTCCTTTCCCTTCCCCTCCCCACAACAGACACCCCATGAGGTAGGTGGGGCTGAGAGAGCTCTGAGAGAACTACTCTTGAGAGAACAGCTCTGAGAGAACTGAACCAAGGTCACCCAGCTGGCTGCACGTGGAGGAGTGGGGAATCAAACCCGGTTCTCCAGATTACAGTCCGCCGCTCTTAACCACGACACCAAGCTGGCTCTCTGGAAGAACCCACACTGCATTGTTAGGACATGAAGCCACAACAAGAGTGCCACTGCTGAAAAGGCCCAAGTGAAAGCCAGTCTTTCCTCAGATAAAGGAGACACTTGGAGCAGTGCCCTAAGAAATGATTTTATTGCGAAGGGTGTGCAAGTTTATATACATGAGTATAGCAGTCCCAGGTATTACAAATGAAGGAAAATCACGTACAGGGAAAGCATGAAAACGTTTCTTGACCCTGGTAGTGGTGGTGGAAAGTGCCATCAAGTCACAGCTAACGTATGGTGACCCTTGTAGGGGCTTTCAAGGCAAGAGAGGTTCAGAGGTGGCATGCCGTTACCTGCCTCTGCACAGAGACCCTGGACTTCCTTGGGGGTCTCCCATCTAAATACTAACAAGATCCAAACCTGTTTAGCTTCCAAGATCTGATGAGATCGGGCTAGCCTGGCCCACCCCAGGCCATTCCTGACCCTACCAGGCCGCAAATGAGGAACCAGAATGGAAAATGCCATTTTATCCAGCTCTATTTTGAATGCAGTGAGATTCCTTGTGCCTGTTTGATATTCCACAAAAATGGGCCCAGAATGCATCCCAGGGATTCCAGAGAAGAAATAATGTTCTTGAGGAACACAAAAGCATTAAGCCCAGAGTTCCCAGATAAGCACCTACGTTTGCTGCACTCCCCTTATACGCCCCATCCCAGTGGCCTCTCACCTGAGTCATCCACCACAGGCAGTGCAGAGACCCTCTGCTGTACGAAGATGCCCAGTGCAACATAAACAGGGGTGTTTGTCTGGACCTTCGCAATGTTTTCATAGGTGCCGATCTTCAGCTCCTCCAGGCTTTTAGACATGAACTCTGGCTTGGGGAACTCAGCAATCTGCAGAAAAACACAAGGAAATTTCTTAGGGTAGAGTTTGGCATTCTACCGGGGGGGAAAGGAGCAAATTTGCAGCTCAGGGCTATGTCAGAGATGTTGAACATAAGAAGAGCCATGCTGGATCAGACCAAAGACCTACCTAGCCCCTGGCATTCCGCTCACACAGCAGCCAACCAGCTGTCTCGAGGAAACTCACAGACAAGATGACTGCAACAGCATCATCCTTCCTGTGCACACCCAGCAATGGATTTATAGAAGCCTACTACCTTTGGTATTGGAGGGATTAGTAGCCATTGATAGCCCAGTCCTCCATGACTTTGTCCACTCCCCTTTTAAAGCCTTCCAGGTTGGCAGCCATGACCACATCCTGTGGCACTGAGTTCCACAAATGAACTATGCACTGTGTGAAGAAATACTACATTTTGCCTGTCCTGAATCCCCCACCCTTCAGCTTCAGTGGATGACCCCAGGTTCTGTCCACTCTGTAGACCCCACACATAATTTTATAAACCTCTATCATGTCTTCCCTTACCTTTTTTTTTCTAGGCTAAACAGCCCTAAGCGTTTTAACCAGTCCTCATAGGGCAGCTGCTCTAGCCCCCTGATCACTTTGGTTGCTCTTTTCTGCACCTTTTCAAGCTCTACAATATCCTTTTCCAGGGGAAGTGACCAGAACTGTACTCATTATTCCAAGTGCAGTCTCCCCTTAGATATTTATAATAAGAAGAAGATATTGGATTTATACCCCACCCTTCACTACCCAAAGGAGTCTCAGAGCGGCTTACAAACTCCTTTCCCTTCCCCTCCCCACAACAGACACCCTGTGAGGTACGTGGGGCTGAGAGAGCTCTGACAGACAGAAACTGCTGTTTTTTTCAAGAACAGCTGTGCCAGAACTACGGCTTGCCCAAGGTCATCCAGCAGCTGCGAGTGGAGGAGTGGGGAATCAAACCCGGTTTTCCCAGATTAGAGTCCATGCACTTAACCACTACACCAAACTGGCTTTCCAGGCAACCTGATAGTGGCAGGTTTATTAATTATGGCCAACATGGAATTTGCCTTTTTTCCACAGCAACCACACCCTGGGTCAACATTTCATTGGGCTATCCACGAGCACTCCAAGGTGGTCTGCCAGCTCAGATCCCGTCAGTGTATATGTGAAGCTGGGATTATTTGCCTCAATATGCATCACTTTACACTTGTTCACACTGAATCTCATGTGCCATTTTAATGCCCAGTCCTTCAGTTTGAAGAGATCCTTTTGGAGCTCTTTGCAACCCATTTTTGTCTTGACTACCCTAAATAATTTGGTGTCACCTGCAAACTTTGCCACCTCACCATCCACCCCTAACTCCAGTCCATTTAACAAGTTGAAGAGCACCGGTTCCAGCACAGATCCCCGAGGGACCCTGCTACTCACATCCCTCCACTCTGACCATTTAGTCCTACTCTCTGCTTCCTGGTTTTTAGCCAATTTACAATCCACAAGAGGACTCGTCCTCTTATTCCATGACTGAAGTTTGCTCAGTCTGAGAGACTTTGTCAAAAGCCTTGTAGAAATCCGAATAAACTATATCTATTGGCTCATTCATGTCCAAATGTTTACCGACACTTTCAAAGAACATGGTGGAAGCCATGATGGTTTTTATTCAACAGGACCTGCCCTTCTATATGCTTGACAACTTTATCTTTAATAATGCTTTCCATCAGTTTACCTGGAACAGACGCTAAGCCTGTAATTTCCTGGATCCCCCAAGATCCTTTTTTTAAAATAGGAGTTACACTGGCCACTCTCCAATCCTCTGGCTGGTCTTAAGGACATATCGCATATCATAGGTAGAATCAGCAATTTCACATTTGAGTTCTTTAAGAATTTTAGGATGGACACCATCTGGTCCTGGTGATTTGTTAATTTGCAATTTGTCTATGAATTCTAGAACTTCCTCCCTGGGCATTTCTATTTGCTTAAGCTTCACATCCTCTTTCTCCTGAGAGTTAGAGCATGGTGTAGTGGTTAAGAACGGCAGGCTCTAATCTGGAGAATCAGGTTTGATTCCCGACTCCTCCACATGAGCCTCCAGTCATAGTTCTCTCAAGACTCTCTCGGCCCCACCTACGGTACCTCATAAGGTGCCTGTTGTGGGGAGAGGAAGGGAATGCCAGAGCCCCAAATTGCTGCTCTATATAGAAACTGGGGCAGTAGTTTCATTTTATAAATTTTTAAAGTTGAAGAAATCAGAACACCTCCTCTTTCTCTATACAATCTTAAGGATACCAAGGGCAGCTTTTTCAAGGTTATACTTAACATAGTCAATATGAGGCATCCAAGAGCCTGACTGATGAAACATCACCCCTAAATATTTAAAGCTAGATAGCTGTTCGAATGGTTTCTTGTCCATTTATGGTAATGCACCCTTCTACCGAAAACCATAATCTTGGGGTTTTTTACAGTAGGAGCTGAACTGTCTCAACAGCCTTCTTAGACCAATTTGACTATGGGAAACTAGCAGTGTGCCATCTGTGCAGTGCCTACTTTTACTGGAAAGAAATGGGATCCCAACAGGTATTCTATCATATCAATTATGTCTACACTAAAAAGCAGTGGGGCCAAAATACAGCCTTGGCAGACCCTTTTTGTGCTTTTAACTCAGCTAGACAATTGGCCATGGACATCCAATCTGATCTTTAAACTGGTGTCCATATTAAGACCTTTTATATGCTCTAGCAGCCTGTTATCTATGTTCATATTGCCTTGTTTTCAACACAAATGGTATTTTGAGATGGAATCTAATATCGCTTTAAGATCCATAAGTGCCACATATAGTTGCCTAGATTATCTATTTGAATATTTATTGATAAGAAGTTGCAGTAGAAGGCAGTTGTCAAAGGTGGAATACTCCTGCCTAAATCCAATTTGCCCTGGTGCTAGCAAGTTATTTTCAGCTACCCATGTCTCCAGCTTCACTAGGAGATGTCTTGCATAAAGCTTTCCTATTACATCCAGCAAGCTTATTGGCCTATAGTTAGCTCTATCAATATGGTCCTCCTTATAAATCGGCACCACAATAGAAGAGGTCCATTCCTGGGGGAACCTACCAGACCTATCTATATGAGTAAACAGGGTGGCTAAAACAGATACCCACCAGTCCTGGAAAGCCTTAAGCAAATCGGGTGGCATAAAATTTTCACCCAGGGTTTCTTTATTCCTAATTATAGAAATTGGGGATTTTATTTCACTGGCAGATACAGGAGGTCACTCAGGTGAGTTGGTTAATGGAATCATCACAGGATATTTGACTACACTTTTGTTGTGGGCTTGATAATTAAATTTTTTTTTAAAGTCTTCTTCCCAGCAGACATACAGGAAACGAACTCATGGCGAACCATCCCTTCTGAAGTTGCAAGTATGCACCAGAACTTCATGTCTCTCAGAGTTAAGGCCAAGGCAAGCTGTTGCCAAGATTCTCTTACTGAGGCAAGTTTTTTCTCTGAGTTATTACAGAGCTCAAAGAAAGATTTAGGTAAGCAGTTTCATTCTGCTCGTACACCCCAATAGCATGTCTCAGTTGTTTATTCATATTTGAGCATTTTCTATCAAACCAGTTAATCTTAAATTGTCCTCTTCCATTTAATATTCCAACATTCTTAATGTGGAAAGGCCTCAAGGATTCAGTTAACTCTCCATATAGTGTCAGGGCTGTATCTTATGTCTTTTGCCACAAGAAATTTTCCCCTGAGCTCAGAAAGTGGCTCAGCATCCAGCACCTGCTCTAATTTATTTTGAAGTGCATAGGTTCATCTCAAACTAGTATCGGCTGTAATTTCAATAGGAGGTATTGATATCCCACAGAGCTTCAGAGATACAAAATATAAATGGTTGATGGTCAGAAGTGACCTTACTTCAAAATGTCATATATTATCACAAGGAGATGATGATGTTAGTACATAATCACACTTGCTGCCTTCTGATTATAAGAAGTGAATTCCCCGTGTTTATCTCCCTCTAAGTTACCATTTAATATTACAACTCTAAGATTGCTTGTTGATTGGCTATTACCCCATGTTTATTAACCAAGGAGTCTTTTGTTTTCCTCCTGCCATTATAAAGATTATCACCATAAGCATTTCCCCTGCCCTTTAAGCTACCATTCCCAAAGCACGCATTAAAGTCACTTAGCAATATTATTTGTGCCTTAGGATATTTAATCTCAAGTTCATAGATGTAATTTTTGAAGTCAGGCCAACAGTTCTCATAACCAAAAGGCGAGGAACGGGGAGGAATATATACATTGACAGCCAAAATAACCTGATCTTTAAAAGTCAAGAGACAAGCCATTGCTAAGGTTCTTAAGGGAGGAAGCAATGCTACACCATACTTCACTGCCATAGAAATCAAACATGCCAGCCCCCCTGTAGGGTGTCCTTTAGTAGTTGGGAGGATGGCATTGAGTGGAAGTGAGGTACTGAAATTCCTCTGGACTGAACCAGATATCATAGTCCAGGACTCAGGAGGAACAAGGGAGCCGGCGTCAGACGGATGGACCAAACAACTCTAGTCTGGCTACAAGTTTCCTTTTCACCTTTTTGCCTCATTTCAACAATCATACAAGCTTGCCAACGGTTTTAGTATTCCCACTAGAGCAGGAACCAGAGACAAAACAGCAGACAAACAGGGGGGATTCCACCAGCAGCACCCAGGAAATAAATCATAACAATGCTATGCTCACAGCAAATGCCCAGAGACTTAACACAACTAATTTTATAATTGTTCTCGGAGTCAATGCTCGGTTTCTCACTAGCCTGCAAATGCCAGTCTGTGAAGATAAGATAAACAGCCACCAAAGAGTGGGAGAACCTCTGGGTCTCTACAAATTAGAAAAGACAGTAATTCTCTCCCTGAAGGGTTCAAGCTTCAAGCCAGCTGTATTTTATCAAAATGTGGTGCTCAGGTTAAAATAAGTATCTTAAAACCACAGTTTAGACAGGCACATTACACTGATGTGTCCACTCAGGACACCACCTTCGCCGCTCCAGTCCAGATACTTGGTGATTTAAAAGACAACAGTAGCGCCATGCTACAATAGCCAACATTCTGTACAGATAAAAGGTGAGATCTACAACTTATGGAAATGTGCCTCAATTTGCAAGTTTATTCATTTTGCATGCTTAATTCTTCTTTTGTTATTCAAGAAGAGAATCAAGGAGACATGCCAAGCCCCATTCCCCGATCAGTAGCACGAATGAGCTTCAAAGCACTTAGCTTGCTGAACAGGAGTTTCCCTGAACTAGCGCCTACTTTATCAGAGGCATGTAATGGGTCCTCACCAGGCAGACATACACACAGAATCTATAAGGTGCCACAAAACTCCTACTTATTTTTGTTGCAACAGACTAACATGCTGCTTACCCCTCCAGAAATAAAATCAAGCACCAATTAAACAGCACCATGCAAACCACTTGTCATAACAAATGAGAGTCTGTGGTACATTCAGTGCTACATTCCTGCCGCAAAATGATGGAACAGGAGAATGACTGGGGTTCATGGGATATACAGAGACTGTAAGCAGAAGTCAGGACTGGATCCATGATGAGATAGCAGGATCTGCAAAGAAGTCTCTACTGCAAGCCTGTAAAACCACAGACTCCACTTAGATCTTAAGACAGGGGTGTCAAACGTATGGCCCGGGGGCCAGATCAGGCCCCTGGAGGGCTTCCAAGTTCCATCAGGCCCGCAGTGGAACTGGCCATCTCCTGTTTCCAGTTCTGCTGCTGCTGCTGCATCATAGCTTGCTTAGCCAGACTCTCTTCATCACTCAGCCATTTCATGTTTTCCCATGGGTCCTAGACTCAGAACTCTGAGCATGAGATTTCTGTGGTGAATGTCAATAAATCAAAAGTAGGTTTGCAGCTTACAGAGCTAATGTTTTAAGCATGTTTTTATTTTAAGTAAAAAAACCCCACAACCTTTCTGTTTGTGTCCTTTATAAAGTTTATATCTCTGCTACCTGGCATTACATTTTATGACACTCATAGCCCGGCCCGACAAGCTCTCATTTATGTCAGATCTGGCCCTCATAACAAATGAGTTTGACAACCCTTTCTTAAGAGATCCATGGTTCCTAGGCCAAATCCAGTTCACTGAGGAGTACTATACGACCCTGAGTTATCTACGCATAAATCAAGAGGGGTACCTGGAGGGAGCTGGAGGGCTGTGGCCATGGGGTTTGCCAGCAGCTGACTTTTAGGAGTGATAACAGGGGGATGCTCTGTCTACCCTCCAGTAACCTCCAATAAAGCTAGCCACAGATCCCAAGGATTTAGAACCCTCAAAGGGCCCAGAGGCCCACATCCAACCATCTATGCACAGAGTTCTCCCATGTTTCAGCAGCCCCTTCTGACTCCCTGAAAGTTCATTCCAGGGATCCATGTGGAGGAACAGCCCGATGGGTTGGTGTGCTGAGGTGAGGAAGAGCAAAGAGATGACATCAACCCCTTTTCTCAGCAGATTTGGACTTGCAGGAGAAGGAGGAGCAATTTCACCCCTTTGTTCTTCTTGCCTCCAGGCCCCCAACCTACATGGCTGTCCCTCAGCCGTGGCCTTGCAAATCCTGGGAATTAACTTTCCTGGGGCCCAGAATGGGCTGAAGACATGAACACAGGAAACGCCTGCCTTACTATGCACGGAATGGGGCCGCCACACTCTTCTTTAGGTTTACTGACCTGAGTATAAGAAGCAAAATGAAAGTGAGGATGGGACTGGAATACTCATTTATTTACTTCAATTATACCCCGACTTCCCCCTGCAATGGAGCCAAAAATCAGCTTACATTGTTCTCCTCTGCTCCATTTCATCCCCACAACAACTCTGCAAGGTCAGTTAGGCTGAAAATGTGTAAATGGCCTGAGGTCACCCAGCAAGCTTCTTGGCAGAGTGTGGATTCAAACCTGGGTCTCCTCAACCCTAGTCTGACACTAAAACCACTACACCATACTGCATACACACAAGTGTCACAACGACAATCCTCAGCGTGGGATCAGTGGAAGAGCACAGCACGGTACAAAGTATCTCTACTACGCATCACCTGAGCACTCACAAAGAGCTTGAGGAACTTGAGGATACGCTTGTGAGTCAGGATATACAGTGTGTTCCCCGAGTCGGGGTCGATGACAGGCAGACGGTGAATCTTGTTCCGAATCAGTGAGGTGACGGCATCGAACAGGCTGGAAGTCACAAGAGGGATGGGAGCAGGGGGAATATGTCACATCTGTGAAGCAAGGAGGACACATGGATGCCTGGATTCTCTCTCTACCTCCGTGAGAGACGTTCTTTCTAAACACTACAGGGAGGCAGAAGAACAGCTCAGATTCTTTGATCTATGCTCAGGAGGGATCCAGTGGACTGTGACAGTGGGGTTAATGATTTCTGAGTTCTGGCCCATTTATACTTCCATTCTATCCCAATGACTCAAGAAGACCAGGGGGACGGACGGACAAAAAACCCTGCTATTTTGTAATCCAATCCCATGACTGCCCCCCCCCCCCCATGGCTGAAGAAGAGGACAGGGTCCTACTCTAACTCTAACTGGTCCCAAATAAACAACAATGGAGTTGGGTCCTCTTTCATAGGCTCGGTTCAGAACGGCCCACTTTTGTATTCTCAAGAGCCCCTTAATTCCCCAGACAGTAGTGTCAGACAGCAGAAATATTCTGCCACACGAATGGAACTCTTTAGGGATATCAGGCTCTGCAGTCAACTAGCAGTAAAAGTTTCTCATTTATGGCGCATGTGAGCTCATACTTAGCTGAGACTTTACATACAAAATCCAAGAAAGAGATAGGCAACATATGATGTATTGAGTCAGACCACCTTTGACCTACCAAGGTCAGTACTGCCTACTTTGACCAGCAGTGGCTCTGCAAGGCCTCTGGAAGAGGTCCTTCACATCACAGACCACCCGATGCTGGGATTGAACCTGGGGAACATCTGCATGCAAAGCACCACCACTGAGCCGTGATCCCTCCCCGTGAAGGGTGAACTCCATGGCAACTTGAAAATCTCTCCTTTTCCCTTTGTTATTGAAACTGGGGTGGGGGAGGGAAGAGTGGTGGCAAATATTTTATTGTACCCTGACTGAAACTTGGCAGGGCTACCAGGAGTCTGGAAAAAACGGCTCTGGAGCTCAGATCCAGCCAGTGGGGCCCACCTTGGTCTAGGACTAGTCACTCTCTTTCTGTTCCCCATCTGTGAAGGAGGAGGTGTAGTGGTGACCGCCATTTCAGACGGCTGTTGGAAAGGCAACTATAATCAAGAACAGAGAAGACTCCGCTAGTGACTTAAAGACTAAAATAATTTATTCCAGCATAAGCCGCTGTGAGCTCTGACTCACAAAATGTAAAATGCTTCACTCTTTGAGAACCTTCCCTAGAAAACTGCCCATTTACCTCCAAGCCTCTCCCATAATTATGAGGTCCAGAAACCTGGGGGAGGGGAACCAAGGAATAAATGAATAAAATGATCTGTACTCATTTAGCGGTGGCTTTGGCAGGGAGGACTGAGGTATGTGCCAGGTGGGAAAACAGGCAAAAAAGGAAGAGTAGCCAACAGGCCTCGGCAGAATCTCTTACCTGGCGCTGGGTGAAATGCAGACCAATGGCTTGAAAGAGTCCTGCAGATAAACTTCTGCACGGGACAGAAAATGTCAGTTAGCCAGATACACCTCTGTCTGGAGAAGGGGAGGGAGAAAGAGAACCTGCAGCAAGTGATGCCAGAGATGGGCATGTCATATGACCAGCAACTTTCTCCATTCACAGTGCTGCCCACCTATCCAGAACTAGCTGCTGTTCTGTAGGCCCGCCACAATCATCCTTACCTCGCCAAGTTTCGATCTTGTGTTCCTCCAGCTCATAGATCTGTACCTGGATGTGTTTTGGAAAGAGGAGGATATCAATGAGACAGAAGCCATCTTGTCACATATCCACTCCTATTACTCCAGGAAGCTCTAGCCTGGATAATTCAGGGTGGAATTTACTTGCCCAGGATGAAACATATTATCCTGGCAATGTCAAAACATCACCCAGTTGATTTAAGCCTTGGGTCTCAGCGAGAAATTGGCCTCCTCAAGATTGGCCATTAAGTTCTGCCTCCCAAACTCTGCTCACTATAACCCTCCCTTCAGAAGTGAGGCAGGAGGTAATTAGAGACAGGACTTTTTCAGTGGCGGCCCCTCACCCGTCAAAGGCCCTTCGACTTGAGGCTCACCTGGCAATTGTTCTCTTCTAGGCACCAAACAAAAATATTTCCTTTTATCTTTTTAACTAAGAAGTTCTTATCTTTTTAGTGATTTCATTATCTGCTTCTGGTCTAAAGTCTGTTTTATGAATATCTTCATGCTCTTTTTATGTCACTGACTTGTTTTTAAACAGCTTGCTTTGTAAATAATCAAAGCAAAAACAATAATTTTATGATACTGTTTTTACTTGAAAGCTGCATTGAGCAGAACCATGTAGAGGTGAAATAAAAATATGAAGTAAATACATTGTTGGGAGGTTGGAAAGGGAGACAAAAAGCTTCTCCCTAAACTTTTGCTAATCCAGTGTGTATCTGGATTGGTCCAATTGGCAGTGCAGTCATCCAAAAACACTGTGTCTTCACAACTGAGCCTACGGGGAGGGCGGGATAAAAAAATCTAAATAATAAATAAAATAAAATAAAAATAAACTGGAAGACGAAATGTTAGCATGAAGAACTCTAACTCTTAAATTACTTAAAGACCCATTTTCTTTGTGTTTTTGTGTATTTAGGTAAAATATTCTTAAATTTTCCTCTGCAACAACAGTGTCTAGAAATGTAACCAACAGAAAACTCCAAGATTCCATAGTGGCTAGCATATCTGTCCTGATAACCATATTGCCAGTGAGAGGAAGAGGAGGAGGAAGAGGAGATTGGATTTATACCCCGCCCTTCACTCAGAGTCTCAGAGTACCTTACAATCTTCTTTCCCTTCCCCTGCCCACAACAGACACCCTGTGAGGTAGGTGGGGCTGAGAGAGTGCTTTCGAGGACTGCTCTTGAGAGAACAGCTCTGAAAGAACTTGTGACTGACCCAAGGTTACACCAGCAGCTCCATGTGGAGGCGTGGGCAATCAAACCCGGTTCTCCGAGATTAGAGTCCATGCTCTTAACCATTACACCAAACCAGAGACTCCTTTGCACAGAAGAAAAGGGGATGATGAAGCTTAGTGTGTGTTTACCATGGCTGACTTGTAGTAGCGATGCAGGATGTTGATGAAGTCTGTGATTGTCAGCATTCCTACAGGGCAAAGAAGAGGTGGGGCAGAGGTCAGCTCGACCCTATAGGCAAATTGGTTGGGAGGTGGCAAGGAAAGATCTTTGACTTCTCTCACTTCTCCTCCCGAGGATGGACACTCACCCACAAAACTTTGCTTTTTGCTGTCCCAGAGTGGAGCGGCCCGCACACCATTGGTCACCAATGCAAAGAAAGCTTTCTTCACCTACAAGCCAGAAAAAGCAACAGATAATTCCACACAATGGGGCCAGGATGCTACACAAGCTGCTGTTTCAGTGAGAAACCCTTTTGACTCCTGTTCTTACTGAGAAAGGAGTTACAGAAGGAGCACGAGCGTGGATTATCTCTCCAAAGAATTACAGAGGAGTGGCCGTTGGAACACATGAAGCTGCCTTGTACCCAGTGAGACCATTAGTCTATCAAGGTCAGCATTGTCTAGTCTGACTGGCAGACGCTTCCCAGGGTCTCAGGTAGAGGTCTTTCACATCACTTACTACCTGAACCTTTTAACTGGAGAGGCCAGGGACTGGACCAAGAATGTTCTGCAAAGAAAGCAGGTTGCTTCCCCATGGTCCTTGTAGTACCTTAGAGAGTGATGGTTCACACACATACAAGTGCAGGCACAAAGGAAAAAAACACTATGAACTGTGGGCTGAAAGGCCTTGAGATGGGACATGCAGCTGCAGTTTTGTCCCATTCTGCTTCCCCACGTGCATCCACCCACCATAGAGAGAAAAGTGCTCCCTCTCCAGGTGGCAAAGCAGGGAAGGAATCCTCATGTGACTTCCTTCATGGGACAAGGGTTTCAAACTGTATTCCAGAGAACTCTTGAGTTCCCTTTAGAAGCTTATTAGAGGTCCTCCTTTATGTGAAAACTCAGTAATAGTGGACGAAGACAGTTAGCCAGCAGTTACCATTCTTCACCTCCCGTGAACAGACTAACTACTGGTACAGTCCAGGTCATGATCTCAGTGGGTCAACAGGGAGGACAAAAAGGCCTTGAAAATGAGCCTTGGGTGAACCAGATACACCCTACAATCCCCTCACAGATCTACTCAACTATCTTGTGACCTTGGTCTTATTTATGTACAGATATTACCACCTTAACCATCTTTCAATTCATCACTGCTTACATGTTGGGCCACTTGTCATATCAAATGTTAACAAATGCGCATCTGTTACCATGTGAACACAAAAGCAGGAACTGCACCCAATTCTAGGTAAGAATATCAGCATGATAACTTGCGTGTGTGTGAGAGAGAGAGACAGAGAGAGACAGAATATCTGATTGGTGCAGTGTTACCAGAGATTTATAGCTGATCCAAGTATTTGAACCCAATCTCCTCAGTCAGGCTTTTATCCTCTACAACAACCCAGTGCCACTAATTTGCAAGTGCCCTCTGCCAGATTATATGCCACCAAGTCAGAACCTGTCCCCAAATGTAACAATCCCTTTTTTCCTACTACTAAGCTTTCTGTCCTGCAAGCTGTATCATTGCTCTTCATTGTACTGTTCAGAAGCATCGAAATATTAATATTAACCTTGGAATCCTGGCCTACTTTGCACACCCTACGGGAGGAAACCGCCTCGCCCTTCCCAACAGAATGCTACCCACCTGCAGGGAAGTATCGAACACAACAAGCTTGGAGCTTGTGGGGATGAGGTCATAGCAGCGATGTGACTTCATGAAGCATGTGTAGATGCCGCTGCTGGAATCCCCATCAGTGGCTAGAAACAGATTAGTAACAGATGAACACAGCCTGCTGGCACACACATCAAAGAGCATGAAGGGTCAGAAACCTAGAGAGATAATGGTGCCACAACCCAAGGAGGAAGAATTTTCAGAGCAGGATGAACAGTGGCATGCTGAGAGCCATCCACTTGAGGGTCAGTTCAGGAGACCTGCTGTCTCCACTGCTCTGTATTCTTTGTGCAGCATTATTACAGAGTAATATGAAGGAAAAAAAGATCCGCGCCTCAAGGCACTAACAATACGCTAACAATATTATTGTCAGGGCTGCATACTTTATATATATTTTTAAAAAAGACTTGCACACATTGCAAGGGGGGAAAACCAAGCAACCCTGCATATATTTGCTTATATGTTGCGTAATTTATTATATGTTGCTGCTACGGAGGGGAAGGCTCAAGTACCCATGCAGAGTGCCAAAGTCTCACTCTGACTTCCAGGAGATCACCAGGCATACCCCCCCCACACACAGGCTTCCTGAGGCCATTTCCACAGGCACACAGGCCACATTATTTGCTTTTTAAAGCCAGAAGCTGAGATTCCCAGATCACATCAGCAGCAGACAGGAGGCTGGGGTAAGATCCAAGGCTCTCCTTTGGGAACACTTACTATGGAGCAAAGGAATACCGGCTCAGGAAAAGTGGAGCTATGGGATGGAGAGGCTTTTTGTTCCAATGAGTCTGTTGCTCAGAGATGTTCAGTTATCACTTTGAGTGGGAAGAAGCAATGTTGGCTTGCTCTGCATGCAAAACTGTGTGATGACGACACTGTTCACATCTGTTGGGATTGTTTCCCTAGAGGATACCTAATTGCTAGATAGCTAAGACTGACCAGCTTGGAGACAGAGAAGCTGAGAGAGACTTGGATCTAGAGTAGTCTTTCTGTAGACAGAAGGAATTCCACTCGTGGAGCACAATTTTTCTGACTGCGCCTTTTGGTGGAAGCCAGAAATCCGCCTGGAAATCCTGTTTTTGGAGATCTCCAGGAACTGGATTCTGGGAAGCATTCTGGGTTGCCATAGGAAAGAAAAGGCCAGAAAGTTGTGCTCCATGGGCTGAAATCTTTGTGCCCACAGAAGTCCTGCTCTAGATCCAAACCAAAGCCTTCTAGCTCCAGCGGGATACAGGATGTACAAGACGCAGCCAGCTGAGAAAGCCCTGTTGAGAGACCTACACCCGTGGAAAACCTCAAGATAAGCTGGCAGTCCCTCCTGAGAGATCCCAAGATCCTCCACTGCCCGACGGTACCTTCTGCCTTGGAGCATTCTCCAGCACCCTCCAAACACTAACCCCAGTCACCGCACGTATGATAGAAACCCAGCTAAGTAGGTAGTAACTGCTGCTTTGCCTCTCTGCAGGAAGACATGCTGTAAATTCTACTGATTCACAGTTAAGAATGTACAGACCATGAGAACAGAGTTGTCAGCATCCTCCTTAGCCCAGGAAATGCAAGGCTACAAGAAACCAGCATAATACCCACAAGGCCGAGTAGATGATGACCTCCTATGGGTCAATCTGAAATGCATCTTCCCAAAACTGCGCCCAAATGTTTCCTGCCAGATATCCCACAGATCATTCTGTTCACCCCATTCCCACCTGCTTCACTCACCTTCTGATAAGGGTAAGCATTTCTCCAACCCGGTGTCTGGAATGGTACCCTGCAGAGAGGGAGAAGGAGAGAGATGAGCGAGGTGTGGGCACTGCAAGCAACGAGCCCTCAGATGGTCCACCCTATCTCCTGGAATGGGATGGGAACAAGCCCTCTTGGCCAACTAACAACATTATTCATACTGTGGGTTTTAATAGATTTGATTAAAATTGCATACACAAGCATGTGTTCACATAATACTTCTGAAGAATGAAGCGCACATAGACGTCACTGCAGGCCCCATCTCAGGCAGAGGTATTCCCTGTGGTGTGAAAGAGCAGAGGGAATGCTTCTTCTGAGATGACATCTGCCAGCCACTGGTTTCCATAAAGTTCTTAATAGAAAGTAATTCGGTTATTTTTTTTTAAAAGTCGGTTGCTTGATTAATGGGGTGGGGACAGCTTTTTAATACACCACCATGGTGCAGTGTTGGACTAGGATCTGGGAGCCCCAGATTTAGCTCCCCACACTGTCCTGGGCCCAGACATTTTCTCAGGCTGCAGTCACAGGCACTAAATAATCCACTTTCAATGCACTTTCCAACTGGATTTTGCCAGTTCACACAGTAAAAATCCAGTTGGAAAGTGCACTGAAAGTGGATTGAAAGTGAATTATTTTGTATGTGTGGCCGCAGCCTTGGTCTCGCCTACCTTACAGGGTTGTTGGTGTGAGGATAAAACAGGGAAGGCAGAATGCCCCTCCAAGCTGCCTAGAGGAAGGATGGGATAAAAAATGTCCCAGCTTTTAAATCTATTAGTCAATCAGCCAGCTAAATGGCACCATCCTGAGAATTACATGGAATCAGAATCTCTCTCAGAGAACCATACCTGGAGTTGCACAATTGCAAAGATGTTCTCAGCAGTCAGACTGGGGTGACGTCTCTTTGGTGAAAGGGAGATAACTCCCTCGCCCAAACTTGTTACAGCAGAAGACAGACATTCAAGAACAAGTGAAATGTTAAAAGGAATTTTGTTATAAGATGATGTATAGATGGTATATGACCCAAAAAAAGATTGGTAATATGAATATTACTATGTCAAACAAATGTTGGAAGTGCAAAAAGGTTGAGGGCTCGTTTTATCATATGTGGTGGACTTGTGAAAAAGCAAAAAAAATCTGGAGTGAGATTCATGTAGAGATGGAAAAAATTGTGAAATGTAAATTTAAGAAAGAACCAGAAATATTCCTTTTGGGGCTAAAAATGGAAGAGGTCAATGTGGCGAAAAGGACATTGATGTGGTATATGATAACAACAGCCAGAATGACCTGTGCTCAATGTTGGAAGCAAGAGGAAGTCCCGAGAGCGGAGGATTGGATTAAAAAGTTACTGTTTGCGGTTGAAATGGACAAAATGACTCGAAAGCTTAACAACATGGAAGCAGAAGATTTCTATAATGATTGGAGAGATTTAAAAGACTATTTGGAAAAATATTGGGATGTAAGAGACAATTTATTTTGCTTTAATAACTACTGAATATTGAATTTTAGTAACAAGGAAAGATAGAGATAATAATTGTAATAGTTGAATAACAGTTACCTAGTGAACGTGTAATGAGGAAATAGATGGAGGAGAAAAGGTTAAGCAATATACAGGAGGTCGTAGCACTGTGGGAAGCCATACGGGGGGGGGAAAGGAGGTGGGTAGGATGTAAAGGGTATAAATGTAAAATTAATGTTGGTTGTGATTGATTATATCCTGAATAAAAATTGTGTTAAAAAAATGTTAAAAGGAATTTCACCACAGCTAGAATACAAACAAATCAGAACTAAAAGGAACGGGGTGCAGTAGGCATCCAGTTACCCATCTTCCCAGCTGGCCAGATAACACAAGGGCCAGCAGTGTCCTATAATGGAGAGACTGTCAGACATTGACTGAGGGAGACTATATCCAAGCCCTTCCTCAGCCACAGCACATACATTTTGAGCATTCCTCAACCAACCCTTCCTCACATGATTCCAAGGATAAAGTAGAGAAGACCCACATGTATCTCCCTGACCTCCTGTGAGGCGCAATGGATCTGTCTCTGAAAACCTGATGAAAACCAACAAGCACCTTCTTCATTTGTGTCCAGAACACAACTAAGCGCCCCACAATGGGCCAGAATGGCTAATCCAGGACAGGCTTGTTGGGCTTACTTCACTGTCCAGCTACGGCCTCCGGTTTAGCAGATCCACTTGCTTAAACCTGGGAAATGCTGAGAACAGCACTTCCATAGGCTTCTTCCCAGCTGCTGGAAGGAAGGAATTGTGCCCTCTGACTTCTGTCCTCTCTCCCACGAAAATTTCATTAGTTCCTACATCAGCCTGTTTTCTTCTTTCAGGGTATGACAAAGCCCAGCTGTCAGTACTCCCAAAATAGGAGACATTCTTCTACACAAGCTTCTTGCCTACAGATACTGATCGTGTTGAAACAGGGAAGGGCCTCCAGCCCCATAGCAAGGCAGAAAGCCAGAAAGGGCTACCAGAGGGTGCAATTTAAAAACAACACTCATTATACTCTAAGCAGCAGTCCACAGAGGAAGAAGTTTTGATTACACCAGACAAGCAC